AATGAAAGTGTTAAGACCATGGTAACATGAGAGATTGAACATACTTCTTTTGCACGCAGAGATCAGGCTTGAATTGATGAATTGCCAGTGCCTCTGCTGTGCACAACTGTCGGAGGCGTACTCCTTTTGAACAATTTCATCTGACACGATAAATGACATTGAAGGAAGATTCTTGTCTAGCTTTATCTCCAGAGTTGACCAAATGTTCAAGAAGTGAACTGTTAATTGATTTACATTCTCCTCTCGACTACCATGAAGGACAGTGCTCTGAGATACGTTTGGTAAGTGTGCGCTTTGTGCGGCCTATATAACTAGCTCCACAGGAGCAAGTAAATTTGTAGACACACATCGAGTGGTAACACAAAGTGGTAACTTGTCCTTAAAGCACTCCGGAATGAGTTGTTGACTAAAGAAACTGATCTGCAGTGTTGTAGAGAAGGATGTCTTCTTCAGTGATTTGGACAGCCAATTCTTCAGGATCTCTGCTGTCGTATCGCCTTTGAAAACAACGTTCATAAACAAGGTCTTCTTAGGAACTGTAAGTACTCGCTCCGTATTCTGATTTACTTTATTAATATCACTGGTGCAGATTCTTTTGATTCTTTAAGATAAAGAATGGATTAGATTCCTTTTTCTGCTGAGAGGCATTCAACTGTGGAAATTCAAATATTGTTCACTCCAAGTAGGCTTCCTATAAATTGATCGCTGAAGAGAACCATCTGGTCTCCGTTTCAATAAAACATCGAGAAAATAGAATTCCGAGTTCTCTTCAAATTCTGATGTGAAGCTGGTCGATGGGTGACAATCATTACATTTCACCTTGTCAAACTCCTCGCCTTCCTCGATATTTCTACTGTCTTAGATTATAACGCAACTACTTTGCATTCTTGATTCGGTTTTTCGTAGCACTTGGCCAGTGATGTAATTATATCCTATTGTTTTATAATGGACTATTATATGTTTATGATATATACATGAATACGATTGTACAGCTTTAGAAAATGATATCGTCGAAAAGGAAAATTTTCTTCGCTGAATTATCTCTCCTCTATTATTATTATTATTATTATTATTATTATTATTATTATTATTATTATTATTATTATTATTTATCCCTTGGGTTCCTAATGGAACATAGGGCTTCAGTAGCACGTCTCCAGTGCACTGTGTTCTCTAAAATCTTTTCAACCTGTCGCCAGAACTGCCCACAAGCTCTCATTTCCTCCTCGCACGATCTTCTCCATGTCACCCCCACTTCGGACTCCCAACTCGTCGCTTCGCATTGGGGTTCTACTCGAGTGCCTGACCTGTCGCGTGATGTCCTCAGTCGGCCTTCTTAGTGTATGCCCAATCCATCTCCACTTCCTTCTGCATATTTGTTGAGCGATAGCTTCTTGGTTGGTTCGTTCCCAGATTTCCTTGTTGCTTATTCTCATTATTCTGGCCATCTGATCTTCAGTAACGAGCCAGCGTAGGCAGTTGTTCATGAATGTCTGTTTTTTGTTGGAAATGCCTTTCATAACGCGCCAAGTCTCCGAGTCATACAGAAGCACTGACTTGACTGAATTGGTGTTGAAAATCCGGATCTTGTTCACGCTTTATGCTGAGTGCAGAAGATCTCCACACTAGTTTCAGGTTAATGAACGCCTGTCTTGCTTTTCTGATCCTGGCTTTTACATCCTCGTCAGTGCCGCCTGTAGTTGAGATAGTGCTTCCTAGATAGGTGAAAGAGGCTACTTCCTTTAAGTTCCTTCCATTGATGGTGATTGGAGCTTGTTGTTGTTGTTGGTTAGATATCTTCATCACCTCTGTCTTCTCTATATTCACTTCGAGTCCCATCTTCGCTGCCTCTTCTGTCAACTTGTTAGTTTTTGCCTGTGGCTCTTCAAGTTTATGTGACATCAGGCACAAGTCATCGGCGAAATCCAAACCTTCCTGTGGAGTCTTTTCGTTGGTCCAGCCAGCGTATGTCCCTCTTCTCGCTCCTCACTGTTTGCTGCATGATCCAGTCCAGTTGACCTCAGTCAGGAATATCATGGGGGATAGTAGGCAATCTTGTTTCACTGCTGTCTTCACTTCAAAAGCATCACTCAGCTTCCTATTGTGAATTACTTGGCATGTGGCATCTTCATATAGTTGTTGAATGAGGCTGATAACGGTTTGCGGTATTCCGAAGTGTTGAAGCAGCTTCCAGATTACCTCTCAGTCGACGCTGTCAAAGGTCTTCTCAAGGTCGATGAAGTTGAGGTAGAGAGTCGACTGCCATTCTATACTCTGTTCTATGATGATGCGTGGCATGGCATAGCGTTGCAATTTGATCCGCACATGATTTGTACTTTCTTAAGCCAGCCTGTTCGCCACTGTACTTAAGTCCAATATAATTAGGTGGACAGAGAGATTGATTACTGAATCTTTGTTCATCGAATCAACACTCAATACATGTGAAATAGAAATGACGCAACACCTATACCAGAGATATGGAAAATTTTGCTACCAATGTTAACAACTCATATGAATGAGGTGACATGACTATAAAAATCAAATGTCGAAAGTGGAATGTGATAACATTGATATGATTATGAGCAATAAGTAATTAATGCTCGAAACGTTATCGAGTAAATAATACACTAGATCACTTTGAGTTATAAATCAAATAAACAAGTCTGATATGGAGTTATATTCTTCTCCGCCTATAGAGGCTGGTTGAACGAAGAAATATATACCTTTTTAATTAGGTCTTCGTCTTGAACTCTAGACTAATAGATATAGGGATTTTCAATTGAATGAGAAATAGTAATCAAGTAGTGATAAGGTTAGTGAACAATAATTATTGATTTTAAGTAAGTCATGAAGTTGGTAAGTTTTAGAAATTAAGATGTAAATAGTCATAGAGTAATAAAAATGGATAATATGAAGCAGGTTATTCCTAGGTAAATGGAGTGGTTTTTGATGACTGTTCAGGCATAAACAATAAGCGATCACGTAATAAAAAGCAGGCAAATGAATAGTGATAGAAACAAAAGGTGGGGGAGAGGGGAGAGGTGTAATACTAGAAGTGACATCATGTTGATGGCCACAAAGGTTAAGTTTGTAAAGGTGGATTTTAATCCCCTCTGCTATGTGAAGTAAGCGAATGTATAATCCATGTGGTAAATTAATTAAAATGTGATGAATAATTTTGAATACTTTTCTAGTATCCAGTTGATGTCCCAAGACAAAGGCTTAACTGGAAAGGAATATATTTCTTTGCTCAGTCAGTCTAAATGGGAATAATGCATGCATTTAGTATTATGACTCGGTGTGGTTCACAGCATAGTAAATAAACATTGATTGGTCAGGGGAGTGCAACCAATTTCTGTCGATCATATTTACAATGTGATCATCAAGGTAGAAGGCTCAGCATCGTGGTGCACATTAGTAGATATTAGTTGGTTGGAGGTAGTCTGCAAGAAATCGTGGTTGACCTAGGTTTCGTACTTGTTGGCACTCGTCAGCAAGGCGTATGTGCAATCTCGATGGAAGTGATGTCCCGTCTGAGATGCGAACCCACATGACACAGTGTTGTAGTCAGTGACTTTAACACTGAACAATTCAGGTCACAACTGACCTCCTGTAGCATTTATTGTTATTATTATTAGTCCTTTGGGTTCATAGGGCTTCAGTAACACATCCCCATTTCACTCTGTTCTCTACAGTCTTTTGAACCTGGCGCCACGACTGGCCGGAAACTTTGATTTCTTCGTCATACGATCTCCTCCATGTCACCGTCAGATGCCCAACTCGTTTCCCCTTTGGGGTTCCACTCGACGGCCTGATGCGTGATGTCCCCAACCGGTCTTCTCAGTGTATGTCCAGTCCATCTTCGCCTTCTACTGCATATTTGTTGGGTGATAGATTCTTGGTTGGTTCTTTCCCAGAGATTCTTGTTGCTTGTTCTTTCTGGCCATTTAATCTTCAGTATCAGGTGAACGTAGGCGGCAGCTGTTGATGAATGTCTGTAGTTTGTTGGGAATGCTTTTCATAAGGCGTTAAGTCACTCAGGCATCACATAGAAGCACTGACTGACTTGACTGAATTTGTGTTGAAAATCCCGATCTTGTTCACGCTTTATGCTGAGTGGAGTAGATCTGGACACTGATTGATTTCAGATTAATGCAGAAAGGCCTGTCTTGATGTCTTTTCGATTCTGGCTGGTTTGACATTCTCATGTGTGTTACTGCCACCGCCTGTAGTTGAAACGATGCTGCCTAGGTACGTGTAGGTGAAAGAGACAACTTCCTTTAGGTTTGTCCCGTTTATGGTGCTTGTTGTTGTTGTTGTTGGTTATGAACCTGCATCGACTGAGATGCTTGGGACACATGCTACGTATGCCTAGTCGCTGATTGCCTTATTACACAGTGCTGGCAGAACTAGGTTCAGATTGGAAAAAGGCCGGAGGTGTCCAGACTAAAACACGGCATCAATGTATGAAGTCGTAGACTGTTGGTTGGAGACTCTAGATGATATGGCTCAGAACGGATATCATTGGCACAGATGTATACACACATTATCCTCATGTTAACGACGCTATACCGAATCTCACTATTTTCTCATTCTTCCTTTTTTTCTCCTTGTAGTTTATATTTCTTTTGACTGTATTCTCTTATCTTCATTCTTCACCTCACTATCTTTTTACTTGATGTACTGATATGAAGTGTGAGAAGTTGGATCGTTGGATCGTAGTAATCCCTGGTTCTATGTTCATATTGATAATGATGGTTGGGTATCTTCATCATTCACTTGAAGTCTCATTCACACTACCTCTTCTATCAAGCCTTTTGATTTTTGCCTGTAGATCTTCGAGTTTATGTGTAGTCTTTAGACATAAATAATCATCGGTGAAATCTAAACCCTAACTAATTTTGGTTGTTGACTTGGGTTATTATTATTATTATTATTATTGTTATAGGAGTTTTCATTATTTTTTCTTTGTTTACTTGTTTTTTTATTTCTCTATGTAGAAATCATGTACAAAGTGAATCGTTTAATACCAGAGTTGAATAACTTTGTTCATACAGATAAAATGTATAAATTAAAGAGTTATTATTATCATTATTCTAATGAAATCAATGAATCAATTAATAAGAAAATATTATTAAATGAAGTAATTACTAATAATCAATTAAATGAATATGATAATAATATTATGAATGAACTTTATCAATTAGATGATAATTTATCATTTCTCTTAAATATATTTACAAGTTATCAATCTAATAATTTAGAAAAATCTTCAACATTGAATATATTTACTAATGAAGTTCATGAATTAATTGAGTATATAAAAGTTTTATCAAATTATTATAAAGTGAATCCTATTCATGATATACAAGAGAATAGTGTATACAATGAATTGAATAAATTAAATAATGAATTAGACGATATATTAAATATATTTACAAGTTATCATTATCAATTTATGAATAATAAAATTATTGATAAAGTCACTACTACTACTACTACTCAGCCTGTAACTATAATTAATACAATTACTATTCCTAATGAAATTATCACATTGATTATCCAATGTAATCCAAATAATCCTCCATTATCTATACTATTATTATGTCATTTATTACTTAATAATCAATATAAGATAATAATTAAATCATTTATACATTCAACAATAAAACAATTACCAAAATCACTTAAACATTTATTACAAATATTAATGACAAATATGAATTATTCATTGAACATAATAAATAATAATAATAATAATAATAATAATAATAATAATAATAGGCAAATGGATACAAATTTACAATTACATTTTATATGGAATACAAATTGTCCTGATTGTATTATATCATCATTTAATAAATCAATTACACCGACAATCTTATACGGAGAATGTATGTTAGTACAATTAATTGTAAAGATATTTCAATTAAAATATATTGATCAACTTATATCACTTGTTATAATGATTGATTCAGGATTATTATTATTGCCTACATTAATGACCTTGTCAACATCATCATCATCATTGCCTACTCTTGTTAAAGATCTCAGAGTGAAGACGCTAGATACATTGAATAATCATGCGTATTTTATAAATATTAATCGTGATTTCCCATCAATTATTGACTGTTTTCTATTTGTTTGTATTAAACAATTGAATTTGTTCAATATTCTACCGGGTAATTTAAAGTTATGGTTGAAATTTGTCAAAAATGGAAAAGTTTTAATTTATTATCAATTTAATGTTATGTTACTTTTTCTAGTAGTAAATTTGTTAAGTATACATACTGGTATATAAAAGATATTTCTGTTTTATTTTATATGATTATTTTGAACTTTTGTATTTTTGGGGCCGACCTTTTCTAACCCCCCCCCCTTCCACTGAGAAGACAGCATCAGCATGGCACTGCTGGTCATCGAAGGGAAACACCTTACTGCTGTCACACCCCATCCAGCTAACAGCAGTACGACTTCGCCCTCAGACCCCCATCGTAGTGTAGCAATTTACACTATAACGGTAACTGCTTTTCGTCTAACCACTATCCAATAGACCTTTCTGGTATGGTACGACCTCGAGGGAATAAACATTCCACCAGCATAGCTCGTTGGTTCATTGTGATATGCAAGCCCGACCACCATGTCAAGGTAGCAGCTATCGGTCGTACTTTATATTTCTTTTGACTGCATTCACTTATCTTCATCCTTCACCTCACTACCTTTTTACTTGATGTGCTGATATGAGGTGTGGCAACTTGGACCGTTACGCAGTAATGCCTGGTCCTATGTTGATAATGATGATGATTTATTTCATATGGAAAAGGATTTAGCTAGTTGATTGTAGAAATCTCAATGAAAGTGGGGAACTGATTTCATACCAAGAAATGCTTATACTAGCCATATACGCTTGTTTTGGAATCCATCAACTTTTCGTATAGCAAAACTTTGAATTTGATGATATTTACAGATAGAAGTAAACAGGCAACTTAGTAAGTATACTACTGTGACCACAGATTCATTTATATGCTTATAAAAGTGAGAATAGATGAAAGATAATGACTGAAAGTGATCAAGTAAACCGGTTGTGTACACATTAGAACAGTAATAATAATCTTCACGTTATAACCAATAATGATGAGCAAGTCTCACTTTCTATGTTTCCAGTTCCATTCAGATATTGTTTATCAGCATTGAGTAGACAACAAATCGATTGAATGAACTAAATTATCACCTTTTATTAGGACTATAACCTTTTGTCTGTGAAATTCATTTACCACTCACTTCTAGGACTGGAAATTGTCTGGAGTTGACTTTGGTCATTCATTGAGAATTGTTTAAATTAAAGTTCAACTGAACAGTTCTTGACAGTGTTTTCAAAATCGTCAAGTGGTTGATACGATTACTTCAACTTTTGTATGATGAAGTAACAAAATATGACGTGAAATGAAATGACCTAGAAAACTTGATCAACACTTAGGACTAGAGTACATGAAGCTGGTTACTTTCAGTAACCAATCAGTGTGCCTGATCCAGTCTTACAGGAGGTCAATCGCGACCTGAATAGCTCACTGGTAACTTCTGTGATTGCAGCATTTGGTGTGGTGTGGGTTCGAATCCAGGTTACTGATGAGTTCATGGCTTCCTGCCGATTCCCTCCATTCAACTGATATCTATGAACGACACTTAACACTTTCTCGGGAAAGTAAAAGATCTAAGCATATTCAAAAAAATGTATTTAACCCTTTTGACTTTACATCCATGTTTACTACGCTCCTGCTAATTGAAACCGTGGATTACATTTGCTAACTATTACTAGAGAGACAGTTGGACAATGAATATTACCTTTATAGTCGTTGATAAGTGCCTATGTCTTAATTCTATTCTACATCACTTCAACAGCGTTTATCTATGAGTTCATTCTACACATGAAAATAAAACCAATAGTTGGATACAATTTCTTGATGTGTTAACAATAATAAGAGATGGCTCCATAATGAAAAAAGTATGTAGGAAATCGACTATTAAGGCATAGTGTATATCCTTTCTCAGCTTCGTACCGAGAAAGTAAAAACGCAATATAATCAGATGTCTAACATTTAGAGTAAGATCAATTGGAAAACAATACTATGTATCCGTGATATTCTAAGTGAAAACAGATATCTCGAAAAGTTCATCAAAGCAAACACCGCTTACGGTGATCCCAAACGAGAATTAAGGAATGGAGAAGCCTTTCTTCCTTCTGCGTCTACAGTTCAAGAGACACACTCCAAATGATATCCTATCACAATGCTTAAGTAGAGTAGTAAATAGAACGTTTAATGTTCGGCGTCTTTGTATATCCTTCAGTAGTCTATCAACGCTCACTGGAAGACTAAAGGATAATCTACCTATCATAACTATTGTCTAGGGTATAGCGTACAAACCTTTTCAGCTTAGTGTCGATGAAGTATGAACAATGTAATCAGATGCCTAGCATTTAGAGTAAGATAAAAATTTCCAAGGAGTATATAGGAAAGAGATACTGTGTTTCCTTGCCTAAGTAGCCGAAGAAATCTCTGCATGAATACAGAAGGCTTGGTTGACTGTTGGCAACTTACGCCACCTGTGACCCCGCCACGACCTCCGATTGTCTATCAAGGGTGGCGTGTACTCCACAGCAGTCCACTCTGTTCTACTGTATGGCTGTGAAATATGGCCATTGAAGGTAACAGATATGAGAAGGCTTCAATTGTTTAGTCGCTGTTGCCTTCGTAGTATTGGCCGTATTCCGTCATGTCACCATGTGAGTAACGCAGTAGTCAGTTTCAAGGAGAAGAGGTAAGTCAGCTGACACGTTGTGAACCTTCATCGACTGAGACGGTTAGGGCATGTGTTACGTACGCCAAACCACCGTCTATCTCGTCATACAATGTTGGCCAAAGTAGGTTCAGGCTAGAAAAAGACTCGAGGCCAGACCTAAAAATTGCATCAATGAATGAATTGTTTGAATGTTGATTTGAGCCATGTGGGACGATGCACACTAGCCGGTTGCGGTCCGTGGGACAAGAGAAACCAGTGGTTGAAGACTCTAGGTGATGACATGGCTCAGAACCGATGTCAGTGGTCCAGATGTATACACATATTATCCTGACATCTTAACGACGCTATACCGAATTTCATCATTTTCTCATTCTTCGTCTCTCTCTTTTCGTACTTTATATTTCTTTTGACTAAATTTTCTTTTCTTCACCTTTCACTCTTCACTGCCCTTTTACTTGATGTACTGAACTGATATGAGCTGTGGCAACTCGGACCGTTACGCAGTAATACCTAGTCTTATGTTGATTTAGATGCATGGGTGTGGATATCCGTGAAAAAGGATATCGCGAAAGGTTCATCAAAGCAAACATCGCTTACGGTAATCCCAAACGAGAATTAAGGAATGGTGAAGCCTTTCCTCCTTCTGCGTCTACAGTTCAAGAGACACACTCCAAATGATATTCTATCACAATGCTTAAGTAGAGTAGTAAATAGAACGTTAAATGTTCGGCGTCTTTGTATATCCTTCAGTAGTCTATCAACGCTCACTGGAAGACTGAAGGATAGCCTACCTAATCTTAGCTGTTCATCTCGCATATACCAACCAATCTAACTATTCCTGTGGAACAAATTACATGGGGAGTAGCGTCAGGCAGACGGATTTTCAGATGTGAGAACAGTTGCCGACTTGATTTGGAAAAGATGTAGTGCAAGTGGTGAAAGTTGTATCATAGCGCAGCAAGTAAACACAGAGCATCACAAGATGCTAATAAAACTTTCAATTTTATACATCGTGTGCTAAAAACACTACCATGCGTAGTTCATCAACGCCTGCTCAACATATCTATCGCATTAAGACTGAGCATCCATGAAGATCATGTTCACATGCTATTCACCCCTTGACCTTCACAGTAAAGCAACGGCCACTCCTGTCTTCCTTATTTGTTGCCTTTTCGTTCACTATCACATTCTTCATCTGCATATATGTCATTTTAATATTGGCAAACCTAAAGAGAAAAATCGATTTCCTTATAAGTCCCTAACTCTCATATAAATTATTCGACAAGTTCATATATGATTAGATTGTTCGAAATGTATAGCACTAATGCATGATAATCTTCTTCCACTACGTTGTTTATAAATATATCAAGAAAGCTATCTGTTTCAACTTACCCCTTGAATGTACAAGTATAGGTAGGAGTTATAGGAACAGTCCTCCTTGCTCATCTATGATGTCGTCTAAAGTTTATAGAATTTTCATCACAAGTGTCTTCGTAGCATTGCTGGAGTCAGCGTGTTAGCAATGTTGAAGTCAGGCGAAGGATACTAGGCAAGTCGATTGATGAGGTTGTGAAGCTTAGTCAACTGAGATGGTTTGAACATGTACTTCACATGCCCAGCCATCACCTACCCCGATATACCATGCTAGATTGGGTTGCGAAACTAAGACCTGGCATCAGTCGATGAAAGGAATCAGTGGTTTAGGCCTGTCGGTCACAACAGCGCAGATATGTTCTCTCTTTGCGCTAACCTTTGTATTCAAACTGTTTCTCATCCCATACATCTTTATCTATCTTTGTCTACTACTGTGAAGTGTGCCAAATTGAGCCGATTTACCTGTGCTCGAGGTTCTACATTAATGTTGTTTGTACAAAATTTTACGAATATGATAAGATGTGACCACCAAATCACTCCTGATAGTTGCCACGGCGATTAATTAAATCAGCGAACTTACGAGCCGTTAAAAAGATGATCAACAACAGATTAAAAGTTGAAGATATATACAGCCTATCATAATCATTCATTCCAATATTTCTTATTCTTCACATAGACAATCCAAAAGTTTATAGATTGAATTCTATTGCAACTCAGATTTTCTACCGATCGCAACAGTCATTTTTAGTCATTGTCTGTATCCGCACAGGCCAATCAGAAACATAAGGCTCAAGGCCATCTTAAAGGTCATGCAGTGGTAACACGATTGTATGTGCTTATTATTTGAGGAAACGAATGTTTTTAGATTTTTTTCCCCCCTTTAAATGTAGAATTTCACTCCCATAGTATTTCAGATCAAACAAAAAAAAATATGCAAAATGCTGACAGGCTAAAGTGACAAAGCGAAAATAGTAAAAAAAAAAAGTCAGAAATATGGTCAAATATTAGAATAGATGATTCATGCTAAACTGATTGATGTATGACGAGTTGTGGAGTAGCAAAATGAGGTGGAAACAAAAGTATTAATCATACATAGTACTAATTAGTAAGAAATCCATAATTTCAAAAATAATAATTCAGTATACTAAGTGTGAAGAGGGGGGAGAGATTTTTGAAAATTCATTCACATTTATTTAGTTGTATATTTGCATTTTGATCATAATGAATATATTGTAAAAATAATAAATAGGTTAACAACAATGGCACAGAAGACACCTCTGCTTTGAATGTTAATGAAGTACGGAGGATAATAACAACTACTACTGCTAATACTAACTACAAGGATACATTAGTCAGTGATGAAGCACATAATTGAGGAATTATGAAACAAAAGAAAGTATGGATCATATTCTATTGTACATTTCTATAAAAACAACAACAACAACAGATAGTTGACTAGATAAAGCATATTCCCTAAGGTGAACTGAGCAGCAGATCACAGGCGTAAGGGTATACAGAGAAACAGAGACAGGTATCAAGCAAAAATAGCGGGTAAAATGAAAACAATACTGCACATGTGTGTGTGTGTGTGTAAATTAAATTGACCTTGATACAATAAAACAAATTCAAGGTCAAATTATTGAACAGTACAACTGATTGGTAAACGTTTATCTGAGCTTAAACATTTATTACAGGTGAGTAATTGAGATACAGCTCGTACCATATATGACATTGTACCAAATTTACCAGCTGGTGGTGTATCATAAAAATGTTGACAAATATTATGCATTCCATGACACATTAAATGACTTTGTCTACGTGGTGGTAATGTTGATGAATCAACAGTTCCTGATTCTTTCATTGATTTTGCACAACATAATGTGGAATTTGCATCAAATTTCATCTTTAAAATAATTATTTAAAAAAAGCACATGAGAAAATGAACAGAATCAAAGATATAACCGTAAAAAATAGAAAATTTCCTGTTCAATAAACTTTAAGGAAACTGATATCGTTTCTGAGATTTCAATCTATATTTTACTCAGTATTGGAATCATAGACTTATTCAAGTTGCGACCGATCTCCCGGTATACATGACTTACATACATTGATTAGTTACTGGAGAATAACTAATTTCATATTGTCTGGTCCTGAGTAGCGTGGGCTCGAACCCTAGAAAAGACATTGGTCCTTTCAAAGCTTCAGACATGCCTTGCTAAAGAGGACACTGTACTGATTGCCTCCAACTAACAGATATCTATCACAAATTGTGTATGTGTGAAACATTGATACTTGGTAGTGTTTTAAAATAAAAACTATTTATTCGATCAAAAGTCCATAGAATTCGGAGGTTGTTTTGATTAATCCATAGGTTTGTGAAACTTCAAAATATAATTCAACAGTGGAATGATAAGAACACTTTTTTTAAAACGGTCACAAAAGTAAACCTTAGCAGACACGAGCTCATCCAAAAGTTTATTATTCCCTAATAGTGTGTGTACCAACCAAGAACCTATCACTCAACAAATATAAGGAAGTGGAGATGGATTGGGCATACACTAAGAAGGCCAACTGGGGACATCACGCACCAGGTCAGGCACTCGAGTGGAACGTAGATGGGAAGCGACGAGTTGGGCGTCCGAGGCGAGGGTGAAATGGAGGAGATCGTGCGAGGAAGGAATGATGGCTTCTGGGCCGTCGTGGAGCCAGGTTCAGAAGATTTCAGAGGACAGAGTGCACTGGAGACGTGCTACTGAAGCCCTATGTTCCATTAGGAACCCAGGGGACAAATAATAATACATGTGTGTATGTATCACCTTTGATGAAGTTCAAAATTAATATTTCGCCGAATTCTAAGGATTCATAATTTCGTTTGGAAAAAATACATATCCACTCATCAATTGGATTAATTATGTTAGCAAAAGAGAACTGTAGTGTAAAAGCTTTAAAGAATGAAATCCGCGGATACAGTCCTATTCACTCAACTGACCCTCTTTTCCTTTTGTATACGTCAACATTTATTGAATGAGAGGTAATATCCACCAAGGACTGACATCAGTTGGAGGACCACTAGAAACATGAGGGCACTGGACAACTGTTTCATCCTAGTATGGTACTCCTCAGCAGTACGCACCCACAACTCGGATAGGGATCGAACCTAGGACCTTCAGGTGAACGAGTTAACCATAAAGTCACTGGCTCGGAATTCAGTGGTTCACAGTTTCCATTTTCTATCAGTTCACGAAATAGCGCGACTATCAACCAAAGTCTCCAGATGGCATCCACTTCTCTTCCGACTGGTTGACCCCACAGGTCATGGCTTCTCATTAGAACTTCGTGATATCCATCTCGAAGTATGTCACTAGTGAGCACTATACAGTAATGTATTTTCGAGATGGGGATTTTAATTTACAGGTAGTACTCAACAGGGACTGACATCAGTTGGTGAACCATTGGAAACCTGGAAGCACTGGATAACCGTTCCGTCCTAGCATGGGACTCCTCAGCAATGCACACCCATTACCCCACCAGGGATCGAACCCTCGACCGTCAGGTTCCATGGTCAAACGTCACCACTGAACCACTTGGTCGGGATCTAATGGCCCATATTTCCAACTGCTGTCAGTTCACAACATAGTGCGACCATCATCCAATGTCATCGTTGAGTATTTGTCCTGACGACCATCAGGTTTGCTCCACCGGTCATGACTTCTCATTGGAACTTCAAGAATCACCTATGGAAGCTAGTCACCAATGTGCATTAGATCAATTAATTTTGGGGGTTTATGAGGATCTGGTGGTTTTTTCAAATTGGTTTTCATCAAGGAATGACACTAGCTGGAGGAACATCGGAAATCTAATAGCACTGGACAGCAAATTCTTCCTAGGATAGGACTCCCCAGCAATACGCACCCACGACCAAGATAGGGATCGAACTCAGCACCTTCAGGTTTCACGGCGAACGCCTTAACCATCTAGTCAGTGGCCACAGAACCTAAAGGTCCTGGGTTCCATGCCTAGAGGGTGGGGCCATGGGTTCGCATTGCTGAAGAGTCAGTCCAATACTAAGACGAAATAGCTGTCGAGTGCTTTCAAGTTTTCGATGATTCTCCAACTGATGTCAGTCCGTGATGAATACTACCTCTAAATTAAAATCCTCATTCATCTCAAAAATACATTTATTGAATGAGTTTATCAAGAAAAAAGTAACTGGTTAGAATGATACAATTCACCCTATTACTTGTTAAGAGTAAGTGAAAAGGGCTAATTTATCTCAAGCGAGATATTTTATATTAACCGAATCTTTTACACTACAAGTACATGAAGTTTAACCTAATACATGCAATAACAGGAATGAATGAGCACCTGTTTCGGAGATATGGAAAATCTTACTACCCATATGACAAATTAATTAATAAGTCCTTTAGGAATCATAAGGAAAATATGAATAATATTAGTAACATAGGTATTTAATAATGGTAATAATGTTGATAATAATGATAATAATAATAGTGGCAATACTGTAGAGCAAGAATCCAAAACCACCACTGTGTTACCATACAAAGAAGACACCTCAGATAAATTACGTAGGATTCTCAATAAGACTGGCTGGATTACAGTGTCATCTAAACCTAAAAACTCACTACTTGGTAAATAAGTTTTATAGATTAAAAGATCCTATTCATCCAATTAAGCAGAATAACTTAGTTCAAAACCGAATCCTTTGCAATGATTACAAGGTCAAATACATTAGTGAAAGTAGTCGACCAATTAGGCTATCCGAGTACAAAAACTTAACTAGATCAAAATTGGTTGATTCTAGTGAGATAAGGAATCTAGAAAAACAGCTTGACAACAGCTATGCATATAATTACACAGAACCGTTGAGAAGGGAAGTCGATAATCATATCCTCAACCAAACATATGCAGCAATACGAATGACACTCAGATAAATGAAAAATCCTACTACTTAGATCATAATGAAATTACAGCTATGTGTTGAAATTGTAGAGTTATCTTGATATGACTGTGAACAGTAATCTAGTAAACAATACTGTTTCACTGTGTAATACATCTAATAGGATTACATTCTATCGTAGTACTCCAGTTTTACTCGTATATAAGTTACCGATTGTCTATCTGCTAGTGTCATTCCAATAAGTCTTATGAAGCTTCAATTCTTTTTCCACCTTTTTTTTCTTTTCTTTCTTTCTCAGAATTGAGTATACTTATATCTACCTTCAATTGATGAGTCTTTTTCAATTTAACAAACTCTATACACTATGAATATCAACAAGAAATAAGTTATATACACAGATTAGTACAATAAGATATATTCAATATGTTTGTATTACTTTTGAAAAATATAAAACATAAAGAAACTATATTGTGACCGAAAATAGTTTCAATTCGAAACTATATCTCATATCATTGCTAGCTAAATGAATTCTATATTTTCTTAAACGAGGACATGGTACAATATAGTGTCACTAAGAGATAAACCATAGAAAAAGGAGGCGAGAATAGAAAGAAAAGCATATGGTTTATTAAAGGAGTAGTTTTTACAAAAGTATTTCATTACTTTCCTTTTATATTTCAGTAATAAAAGAAACGAGAAAACTGTAGTATGATTTTGTTTACAGTTTAGATTCTGAATTATGTCTGTTATTGTCTCAAGTCACCATTGAGTTGCATAATTTCATGTATTCTATCTAGGGAATCATGAGGCATATAAAGATGTTAATCGAACAGAAAATATCCTCTTCACTCATTCTAATCAGTTCTATGATGAGAGAACAGTGTGGGAACCGTTAGAAGATGATATGCGTAATACATATCCGGTGTTTCATGGATCACCCTCACTTACTTACATGATGTTTTCATTAAATGTAACACACAAATAATTATCCTTCACACATCCTACAGTGCATAGTTATAAAATTATTGTTCTCTTCACTTTCCGTTTTAACCCACTCCAATGCTAATGAACAATATGGAAACCGGCTGAAATACCATAACACATAACTTCTGTTAAACTGTTCATGTGAAACAAATATATACTTCTTCCATTTTAGTCTGTTTATTAGAAATATCACACACAGTGAAGAAACGGGTAGCATTTACTGGATAACCATGTTTCGGACACAATTTATTGTCTCATATTCATATCAGATAACGTCGAGATAGACTTTTTATTATTCCTAATTCTCTCTCTCCTTCTCTGTGATAACAAGGGTAGTAGAATTCTCCATATATATATGGGACAGCTGCATCCATTTGGTGTTGATTCGATAAACAAAGATTCAGTCGGTTATCAATCTCTCCCTCCCTCCACCCAACTAAGTTAGTTTTCAAAACTGTCACCCTATCCCACCCTACTGTGTCACTGATTGTGTGTCATCGCATGCAGAGCTATATAGCCGAGTTTTTCTCTAGATTTCTTATCTGATTACCATCTACTGATCTTGATTTAGCTAAGTTTTTGTGCTCTGTTATTCTAATCACCCCTGGCTGGTCGACTGCTTTGACCAGATTATTTTGCTTAATTCCATCGATAGGATCTTTTAACCTACAAAGCTTGTTTCTAAGCTTTGAGTTTGTTGGTTTAAATGCCACTTTAATCCCAACCAGCCTTATTGAGAATTCTTCGCTATGCTTCTGGGGTGCCTTCCTTGTATGGTAACACAGTAGAGGCTTTGAATTCTCTCTTCACCCTGTCGCCATTATTACCATTAGTAGTGGAATTATTATTAGTGGCACCTGTATTACTACTACCACTGATAACATTTTTCTTTCGATTTCTTATGAACTTAATTGTAAATTTTGTTAGGTTAAAAGATCTTGTCGATGCAATTAAACAAAATAATCTGGTCTACCAGATCCATTGCAATGATTGAGAGGTCAAGTACATAGGTCAAAGCAGTCGACCAGCCAGGGTCGATCAGAATAACAGAGCACAAAAACTTAGCTAAATCAAGATTTTTTTTGAGGGGGTTGTGGAGATTTGGAAATATTTCAAGTTGTTATTCATCATTGTTCCTCCAACTGATGTCAGTCTTCGATGAATAACAACTTGAAATATTTCCAAATCTCCACAACCCCCTCAAAAAATTTAATTGAACTAGTGCTCATTGGTGACTAGCTTCGAGAAGTATTCCCGAAGTTCCAATGACAAGTCGTGACCGGTGGAGTCAAAGCCTGATGGCCGTGAGGACAAATACTCAACGATGACATTGGGTGGCGGTTTGCGCTATATCGTGAGCTAACAGAAGTTGGAAATATGGAGCAATGGATTCTGACCCAGTGGCTCGATGGTAACGCGCTGGCTGCGGAACCTGAAGGTCGCGGGTTCGATCCCTGCTGGTGGGGTCGTGGGTGCGCACTGCTGAGGAGTCCCATACTAGGACGAAACAGCTGTCCAGTGCTCCCAGGTTTCCTTTGTTCCTCCAACTGATGTCAGTCTTCGATGAATAACAACTTGAAATCAAGATTAGTAGATGGTAATCAGATAAGAAATCTAGAGAAAAACTCGGCTATATAGCTCTGCATGCGATGACACACAATCAGTGACACAGTAGGGTGGGATAGGGTGACAGTTTTGAGAACTAACTTAGTTGGGTGGAGGGAAGGAGAGATCGACAACCGACTGAATCTTTGTTTATCGAATCAACACCAAATGCATGCAGTAATAGAAATGATTGTGCACCTGTCCCAGATATATGGAGAATTCTACTACCCTTGTTATCACAGAGAAGGAGAGAGAGAATTAGGAATAATAAAAAGTCTATCTCGACGTTATCTGATATGAATATGAGACAATAAATTGTGTCCGAAACATGGTTATCCAGTAAATGCTACCCGTTTCTTCACTGTGTATTATATTTCTAGTAAATAGACTATAATAGAATTAGAATCAACCAAAGTAGCCAAGTTTTACTCTTCTATTAATATATATTTATAATAATAATAATAATAATATTATTATTATTTACCTGATCAATTAAAAAGAGATGATTTGCTTTTTCAATAACATCTTCAATTTTAACAATACAATCAAGATAGATTGAATTGTCAATATCATGCATCATAAGTGAACCAAGTACATGAATTGCTTCAATTATTAATTGACGATATTCTGGTGTACTAACCATTGTGCATACATGTTCTACAGTTAACGCAAATTTATGCTCACCCATTGTCATCTAAAAATGTATACATACATTATAATTAATATAATATATAGAAAATAATGAAAATAATAATACAACAGATAATAAGTAGAAAAATAATTTTAGTATATTTTAATGATAAGAGAAAGAGAAATTTTTGAGGGAGTTGTGGAGATTTGGAAATATTTCCAGTTGTTATTCATCGTAAACTGACATGAGTTGGAGGAATAAAGGAAACCTGGGAGCACTAGACAGCTGTTTCGTTCTAATATGGGACTTCTCAGCAGTGCACACCTATGACCCTGCCAGGGATCCAACGCGCGACTTCAGGTTCCGCGGCCAGCGTATGCAATCAAAGCTTGATGGTCGTGAGGACAGTTACTCAACGATGACATTGGGTGGCGGTTGTACTATATCGTGAGCTAATAGAAGTTGGAAATATGGACCATTGGATCCCGTCGACCCAGTAGCTCGATGGTAACATGGTGGCTACGGAACCAAGGTCATGGGTTCAATCCCTGAGGGGGGTCGTGGGTGCGCACTGCTGAGGAGTCCCGTACTAGGACGAAACAGTTGGTTGTCCGGTGCTCCTAGGTTTCCTTTGTTCCTCCAACTGATATCACTTTACGATGAATAACAACTTGAAATAATCCAATGTATTTTATAAAGACTGAAGACCTCCTCCCTCAACGGTACACAGGCATATACACATACATTCATGCATATAAACACATTCGAATGTTGAGTGTTTTAAAGATAATCTGACAGATTGATGACTTAAGTATTCAACTTTCAAACAAACAGTTCAAGATTGAAATCTTAATGATCAAAACACTTTAATATGGGCAGTCAGGTAGTAGTATCGTGAGTCTTCACACAATATGTATAATTTATAGCATAGTTCCTGAATACATTCACTGACATTTAAGTATATCAGCAGTATGATTGATTGATACACTAGATATTGTGATAAAGTAAAAAGAATAGCGACAAAAGCTAGTGATCAAACAAAGGATATTGAACAGCCAATCAGATTGCAAGGACATAAAATAAAGGTTTTAAGGGTATAATACGTGTACATTATTATAGAAAATGATCCTATGCAAACAGTTTGTACAAACCTGTTTAAGTTTTCCATCGAAGCTGTCTATGTCCCTTACATTTCATACTTACAGTTTGGGTATATTTGCACACTTTTACTTTGCGCTCTTTCTTCCGCACATGGGTCATATTTCATATGGCCCACTAGCGTTCTGATTGGTTCCTGCCTCTTTAAATGTACTAATTATTCCTAACCTTTCAAGGTTACTGCAAACTCTATAAATAAGATCCGTCCTCACTAATAAACGTTTTCACTCTGAGATACTATAAACTCATCTGATCTGAAGTCTTTTGATTTCCCTTTACAAACCACTCGGGTTGAATCATTTCAATACTCGACTATCAATCGCTTAGTATTTCCGTTCGTTCTCAAAAGTCCGCACATCATAGCAGAAACCTCAATGAAGAATCATAACTATGAATTTTTCCAGATGGCTGGACATAATTTCATTTTAGGAATCACAGAAACAAGATATTTGTTAAAGACAAGTCACAATTTGAAAAAAAAGTAACTGACAGATATAAGATTAAGTCTATCTAGGCAGCATCGTTTCAACTACAGCCGACATAGACGAGGACGTCAAAGCCAGGATCGAAAAGACAGTAAGACAGGCCTTCATTCACCTGAAACCAGTGTGGAAACCTTCTGCACTCAGCACAAAGGACAAAATCCGGATTTTCAACACTCATATCACTCAAGTCAGTGCTTCTATATGCTTCAGGGACTTGGTGCATTACGAAAAGTATTTCCAACAAACTATAGACATTCATTAACAACTGCCTACGCTCGTTACTGAAGATCAGATAGCCAGAATAATAAGAATACGCAACAAGGAGCTCTGGGAACGAACCAACCAAGACGCTATCACTCAACAAATATGCAGAACGAAGTGGAGATGGATTGGATATACATTAAGCAGACCATTCGGGGACATCACGCGCCAGACCAGGCACTCGAGTGGGACCCAGATAGAAAGCGACGAGTTGGGCGTCCCAGCTGAGGGTGAAATGGAGGAGATCGTGTGAGGAAGAAATGAGAGCTTCTGGATAGTCATGGAGCCAGGTTCAAAGGATTGCAGAGAACAGAGTGCACTGGAGACGTGTTACTGAAGCCTATATTCCACTAGGAACCAAAGGGAGAAATAAATAAATAATAATAATAAGATTAAGTGACAACGAAACAACACAAACAGACTTTTTTCCATGACAAAAGAATTCATAACCATCGGTAAGTTCCCTATTCAAGTGTGTAGTTATGTTTCTTCTGGATCGACACAATTTTTGTCTCCGTAAAAGTTCGTGGCTCACAGAACAATATTAAAAAGTATCAAGAAGGAAACATGCATAAAGGAGATGAACGTCGATTATTGCTAATAGCCTATTGATTAGCTAACTTACAATCTGGTTAATTTTTCAATGTCATCTATGCGCTGCACTTATTACTCTAGGCATTTATCTGTAAGATCAATGATTAAAACTCATTACCCATTTGTACCTCCGTGCTGTACCCCTAATGAACTACACCTATTATATGACAGCTGATGATACTACCTAGACTTCAGTCAATGAAGTAAGGCTCAAACTCATGATCCACTAGTTGAAAGTCATCTCCCCAACCCAATAAATTACAGCTTCATGTTAAAACTTAACTCATTCACCTGTGTAACAATAGTCAGAAATTGTCACTAATTCTAACACAATAGGCGTATTTCATAGACTCAAACATAAACTTTGATGATATTACAATGATTATCTCAGGGCATATATATATATACTATTCTTTAAATAATAGGCTTCAATAACAGCAATATAAATCATTACTACCTATCTAATGACGAGGGTGATTGTATGATGTTTCTGCGAAGATTTCGTCATTAAAACGAATAATCCTGATTATAAATCGGTTCATGAAGAACTTTGATGATGAAAGTTACAATTTAAACTACAGAAAAAGATTATTTCCTATCTAAATACTGACATGACTAACTCTCTGTATTATACAATAGAAAAATGGTTGATACAACTTTTGAAGCCTCTCCATAAAGAGGTTGTGAAGTACAGTTTCAAAGATACCTTTGAATTTGTTAGAAAGATTGAGGATCTGTAAGTATATAATAAGTTATTGATTTCATGTGACATTTCATCTCTTTTTACTAAAGTTCCTTTAATGGAGACAGTAGACTTTATTTGTAATGAACTCACGAAGCATGGCATGGAAATAGGTATTCAAGTCTCTACATTGAAAGAACTACTTCTGAGGTTTACGATGAATGTACAATTTCTTTTCAACAATGAACTCTACCGACAATCTGATGATGTTACTATGGAGTCACCCGTTGGCCCACTCTTAGCAGATTTTTTTCTGGTAAAACTTGAGAATGGTACACTGAACGATACTGTAAGCCGTTTAGAGTTATACTGTCGTTACATGGATGATACCTTTATAATTTTCAAAAATGAAACTGATAAGAAGGCTGTTCTGAATAAGTTCAATAGTGTTCACCCGGCAATCAACCTCACAATGGAAGAGGAGAAAAATGACTATCCCATTTCTTGATGTTCTGTTGGTAAGAAGTTCAGATGGAATCCTGAAGCGAAGTGTTTATAGAAAGACAACATCAAAAGGTCAATATACGCACTTCTTTAGTGCTGTACCCCTCCAATACAAAAGGAACCTGGGGAAATGCTTAGCATACCGTGCCTCAGCTATTCGCTCAGAGGATGCTATAAAGAAAGAGTGCACCACCATTCTGCTTAGTAGGAATGGCTACCCAGACAAGTTTGTAACTGAGCACATGAATATTACGAGGGTTAAGAAAACAATGCCAACAGTTCCTAAGAGGCAAATCTTCTTGAAGCTGCAATTTAAGAGTGATATTGCCAGTGAGATCATCACACAACGCATAAAAAGAGTCTTGCATAAAGCAATCCCAGCCACTAAATTATTTCCCGCCTTCTACAGCCGTCCCATTCTAGGTGTAAGAAATAAAGACAAACTGCCTGATTTTGCCACTTCTATGTGCATTTATCAATTCAACTGCTCTTGTGGAGCGAGTTACATCGTGCGTACAATGAGGCAGTTCCATCGTCGAATTTCTGAGCACCACCCATCATAGTTGAACAAGGGACAAATTAGAACTATAAAGAGCTCCATACATGCACACTTAGTTGACACAGGACATCAAGTGGTTACTAGAAAAGCCTTCAAAATTATCCATCAGATTCCAATTAATTTACCTCATGGATTACCCACTCGGTTACTTCACATAACAGAGGCGATTGCAATCCACCTTTACAAACCTAGCCTTTGTATCCAAAGGAAGTTTGTTCGACCACTTTCATTACCATGGCCGTCAACATGATGTAACTTCTAGGTTTATTTTGTGCACCTCTTCCCCTTCTTGTTTCTATCAATATTCATATTTCCTATTTTAGTAACTCTATTGATTATTTACATCATTATTTCCGAAACATCACCACATGATTGGTAATTTGATTAAATTGTAAACCCCCTATATATTACTGTAGAGCTCAGGATGAAGACCTAATTGAAAAGAAATATATTTCTTCGCTCAATCAGTCTTTTTCTAAATGTCTAGATGGGTATATTCAATGTAATACTGAATTTTTTTATCTGTCTGTATAATACCTCAAATAGGACAAAATTATGCACAAGACGTTCACACTCACTTAAGCATTAAGACCTGGCATAAAAATGGATGTGATCACCGTGATTACTACTTCATAACCTAGTTTTTAAGTTTTGTACTTTGGAACCCATCATAGGTGTTAACTTGATATCCATTTTCAGCTCGGATACAGAAGATTCGTTTGGCATTTGTCAACTTATGTCATATGCAACACCGATTGGGGAGATATCTGACTATCTATCAAAAGATGAGTATACTGCGCTGTAGTCCATCCTGTTCTGTTATACAACTGTAAGACAAGGCCGTTGGAAACAGAAGACATGTAGCGACTGAGGGGTTTTGAGCACAGATGTCTTACGTAACGCTGCTCGCGTTTGGTGGAACCCCTGTGTGAGCTATGTTGAAGTCAGGTGAAGGATACTAGGCAAGACAGGCAAATCAATTGATGAGGTTGTGAAACTTAGTCAATTGCGTATACCGAGACACCGCCTCCTTAGACTCGCCTTGCTAAAAAAAGTTGGATTAGGTTTGAAGAGGGTTCATGGTGGTCAGACCAAGACGGAAAGTCCGTGGACTGTTTGTCTGAGGCATGTCGGGAGATGAAAACCGCGTAGTTGGGGTCCCGGAGAAGATTAAAATCAGTAGTTGAGGACTGATTGTGACATGACTGAAAATCAGTCACAGTGGCGGCGATGTATTCACTCATTGATATCTTCTAAAGCTTGAATATTTGGCACTAACCGTTATCTTCAAATTGTTTGTTCTCTCACACAACATTATCAAAAGGCTTTAACGACTTTTATTATCTCTTATTTATGTATCAGAAAGAAGCAATCATTTTCCTGTTAGTACGTGTCCAGGATGATTCAGATGGCAAAATCCTATAGCTTCACCTGAGAAACTATGCAAGAACTTTTAAGCTGGCCTTCATCATGGACTGACATCAGTTGGAGGAACATTGGAAACCTGGGGGCACTGGACAGCTGTTTCATTCTAGTATGAGGATCTCCTCAACAGTGCGCACCCGCGACCTTAATAAGCATCTCTAAATCCCCACAACCCCCCAAGTTCAATTGATCTACTGCTCATTGGTGACTAGCTTCCGCAGGTGATTCCTGAAGTTCCAATGAGAAGTCGTAACCGGTGGGGCAAATCTGGTGGCCATTAGGAAAATACTCAATGATGACATTGGGTGATGGTCGTGCTATATCGTGAACTGACAGAAGTTGGAAATATGGACCAATACATTCCGACCCAGTGGCTCAATGGTAACGTGCTGGCCACGGAACCTGAAGGTCAAGGGTTCGATCCCTGCCGGGACGAGGTCATGCGCGCGCACTACTGAAGAATCCCATACAAGGGAAAAGCGGCTGTCAAGTGCTCCCAGGTTTCCAATGTTCCTCCAACTGATATCAGTCCATGAGGAGAACCAACTTAAAATATCTCTAAATCCCTCAAGCTCAAAAACTCATCAAAACTTCATTGATTATAGAAAGTCAGTAGACTTACTTCTTTCGTTAAATTATGACTAAGCACTTGATCACCGATGCTTAATCCTTGAACATGACCCAGTATAGTATATACACGTTTATAGAAACCTGGTGGTACACGATTTAAAGCACCATCAATTTTACGTCGACGACTCCATAAATTGCGTAATTCTGTCTGTGAATTATCATCTTCCAATTCAATTGTAACATTAGCTGCTATTGACTGTCTACGTGAGGTTATATATGGACGACTTGAGACTGATTTTTTCTTTACAGAACCTGAAATTGTATCCAGTTTAGCTTGCATAGTATCTTGGCTTGTGATAGTAGTATTAGCCGATTTAACAGGGGACTTAAACAAGAAAATGGAAGTTAAAAGCAAAGCAAGTAGTCAACTAAACAGTTTATATGAATAATTGAATAGTCGAAGAGTTTCTTCCGATTACCTGCAACCAAATAACATCAATTCAAGTGTATCGCAATAGCCAATCACTTAGCTTGATGATCACAGTTGAAAATAATCGATAGAATTCAGTTAACACTTAGGACTAGACAATAACTAACTAATCAATGCAATTATAAATTGTCCAATAGGGCATCAATGACATCCCGAATAGTTCATTGGTAAGGACTCTGACTACAGCACATAGTAAAGCAAGTTCAAATCCTTGAAATAACATCAGCTTACTCAAGTTTGTAGATATACCTAGCTAACAAGTTCTGATCTTTTTGGCGATTACCTCCAACAAATGAAGTATAAAACATGTTTACTTTACTTAGAATTTATTGGATTCATATGAACCACTTTTAAGTGAAATTGCAGATTAACATAGATATCATACAGGAAGTTCGTTATATTCATGGTATTTCACCACCACCAACAATCTTGACTAGTTCACCACTGGGTCACTGTGATCGATCTACACCGTTAGCTATCATCTTCACGTGGTACTCGAGCTTAAATATCACAATGACTAAAACGGGCTACACTGTCTGGAATGCTTTTTCCCTCGAGGTCCTACCATACCAGAAACATCTGTTGGATAGTAATAACACAAAATGCAGTTAACGTTATACTATAAATTACTACGCTATGAGGTTTAGAGGGCGAAGACGCACTGCTGATTGGATGGGATTGTGACGGCAGTAAGGTGTTTCCCTCTACTGTGGTGCTACTTTCCTTATGGGAAAGGGAGTAGGTTAGAAAAGGTAGGCCTTAAGAATGATACACTTCTCTGTAACCGGCGACATACCGGTGCTAGAAGATAGTGGTTCACAGTCAGGTTTGCAAACAGCTAACTAAAATTCATAGCTTCTGAAGAAGAAGTGTGTGACCGGCCTTAAACAGATGTCTTGTGGGCTCTGCAACCACGTACTAACCCTTCTTTTCTGATACCCCAGGAAGAACTAGAGTTCTACAGTATGGGTAGCCGAGGTGTCAACCGCCCTCGAAACTCAAGTTCTTTTGGATCACCATCCGCCTTCAGCATCAATAACTTCTAGTCTTCCTTCTTACTTCATCTCCAATTTCTTTCAGCTCTGCAGCTCTCAAAAACAATCTATGTTGATGGAACAGCATTCTTAGTCTCCTAAAACCACTTTCAATGTCAGAACCCTCCGACAAGTCAACCAATAAGCTTCACTAACCAAAACACTAGCATCTCGGGCCATGGACATGTCCTATATTTGTGACACATAAATACAGCACTAAAGTGCGGTCATTCACTTAACCTTACCCGGCTAATATAATGAGTTTGAGAAATTTACCCTTTGAGTTTCGGGAGATTCAACGGCTAGTTCTCACGGTCTTGTAGGTGTAGGTATAGCATTAATTCCTAAGGCAGAAAGTGCACCACTCGACTGAATCTCACTTGAAAGTCGCCTATGTGCTGTTCGACTGAACCCTACAGTGAGAATGCTGGAAACTCGCAGTTGTCTCTGTGTGATCTTTGCTTACACACTGACTGTAGTTCGGATGGGTTGTATCGAAAACTGTCTAGCCTCCTACTGAAAGCCATACTTTCAGACATCATTGTTATAGCGGGCGATTTTAATGCAGAAGTTAGTAGGGTAGTTAGACAGAAGGCTCCTTCGGAAGCCCAACCAAACGAAAAGACAATGGATGATAGTTTACCACGACCACTTTCATATACCTTATCTGGTCAGCACAAACTTTAGAAATAGAGATAATGTCTCATATGGAGTTTACAAACCCAAAGTGAACACAGATAGATGATATTGTGATCAGTTATTGCTCGAGAAGGTCGATGGAAGACTGCACCTCTATCTGGGGTAACATGCTTGAATAGTGATCATGTGTTTGTTCGACCACGCATCTATCGCACCTAAATGGTCTTGGGAGAACTACAGTAGCAAGTTCATTGTGAATACTGCTTGACGATGGCAATAATAAAGCCACTTTCAGTGAAGAGCTGGTTAGACAGTTGTTAGCAAAAAAAAAACGTTCACTCAGAAGAAGCCTGGTGTCATCTGCAGTCCGCTGCGAAAACAGCGTTGGCGACCATAGTTACCCCTCAGAAATTGATTACAAAGAGACATTGGATTTCAGCAGCTACTGCTGAATTAATTGACACACAGGAATCCATTCCTGCAGACTCCGACCACAATAATAAGCGGAAGGAACTCAAATGTAAACTGACAAAAAGTCTGCACAATGAATGCGATCAGTGATGAGTGGCAAAGGCCACAGAGATGGAAAAGCAATGACGATGAGAAACAGTCGACATTTATTGAAACTCATCAAAAAAAACTACAGGGTAAAGACCAACGTTTAGTGAAACTATAGAAGATATGGATGGGTCAGTGGTGGAGTCGCAGAAGAGACGACTAGAATGATGGGTGGAACACTTCGACAAACATCTCAAGTGACCTTCAGCTACCATCTTGTTGGCCGCTTATCCAGTCAGATCCTAAACGAAACATTGAGATAAGACCTCCAATACTTAAAAAAGTCGCAAAAGCTATAAGCAATCCGAAACGAGGAAACGTATAAGAGTCAAAAAAATTAGTACCTGAAGGATTTAATGAAGATAGTAGAGGATTATTGGTCAGCTTAACTGAAGTGTTAACTAGTGTGCGGGAGTCAGACATGATCCCTTCGGACTGGTCTCTACAACTGATCGTCCCAGTCTTCAAGAAACGTGAGTTCACTTGTGACAACCATATGGGAATCAGCCTGATGAACATAGTATCAATGATTCTAGGTCCCATAATCATTGGACGTTTGAGTGGCAATCGATAACAACAAACTCGAGAAAACCGTACAAGTTCCAGACCTGGCCTTGGGTGTCTGGATCAGATATTCACTCTCCGCCAGGTTCTGGAACACAAGTACACTTACCGATGCCCGACACAGGCTGCGTTTCTTGACCTGAAGGTGGCATTTAACTCTGTTGAACAAACCACTTTATGGCAGTGTCTCTTACTGAGATGGCTGCCAAGCAAGTATGTAACTCTGTTGAAGGCTGTACACTTGAACACCCGTGGGCGAGTTAGAGCTTATGGTGGGTTATTTACGGTACGCGATGTTCATCGAGAACTTACAGCCTCTCCATTCCTACTAACCTTTATCGCAGAAGTGCTTGTATAAGGTTCCTTCTTGTTGTCTGACTTCCCAGGGATTGACCTTGTCACGAAGGAATCCTCAGTAGGTCTAAAATACACGGATGACACAGTTTTGTTAGGCAATGCAGAGTCTCCTGGACACACTGAGTGACAATTTCAGAATGCTTTGGGTGGATTTCTCATCACCTAAATGAACATTTTCACTCCAAAAGCGGTCTTTGCTGGTGCTTTGTTGAGTAATAGAGAGTGAATAGATTGAGTACACTGACGACTTCACATTCCTAGGAAGTCGCATCAGCTGTGGTGGGATACTGACCGACAAAACTCGGTAGGTAAACAAAAAGACTGAAATGTTTTCTGCCAACTCACACCGTGCATGGCACCACAGTGATATCCGGTCGTCTGTTAAGGTCAGAGTCCACTGCGCTGCAGTTTGCACTCTTCTACCGTATTGCTGTGAAATATGACCATCAGAAGTACAAGATATATGAAAGCCTTAATTATTAAGTTACCGTTACCTTCGTAGTACAAGTCATGTGTTGTGGGTTGCCTAATCAGTGATGTAGACATCAGGTGTAAAGTTTTAGGGAGGAGAGGGAAGTCAGTTGATGAGGCTGTGCGCATCCACCGACCCATGTGGTCAGGAAGTATGCTACGCACCGCCTGTATCGTCACACTAAGCTCACACTGGAAAAAGGTGAAAGGCGGTTAGAACAAAGTATAGTATCAGTCATTCACGTCTTTGACTGTTGATCTGAGCCATGCAGAGAAATGTAGACATCTCGACTACAGTCCGCATAACAACAGAAACTATTGGTTGTAAACTATGTTTGATATGACTCAAAATCGATCTAGGTGGTGTAGATGTATCCATGCATCATCTTCATCTTAACCGTTATTCTGAATTTCAATATTTTCTTATTATTTCTTACTTGCTTTTGAAGACTTTCGACAACTTTTGACAGCTTTCTTCTCTCTTTCTTTACCTTTCAACTTAGTGCATTCTCGCTTGACGTACTGAAATGAGGTATGGTAACCCAAACCGTTATGCAGTAATACCTGGTCCTGTGTTGGTTCTGTCTGTCCCTATGTTGTAATCGATGATTTTTGTCAAAAGATACAGAAGTTCCTGATCATGTTAAACAAATTTTTTTGTTTTTCTGTTCTTCCTCCTGAGACATAAATCTTGCATTCTATTTTACCTACTATACGTGATATTCCTTATCATACATCAAAGTATAGATATTTTCACAAGAGAAGTATCTGTTTTCACTCATAAACCAATCAGTTCTAGAGGAGACTAAGAATTATGAAGTTGCTGAGCATTTATATGCAGGACATTACTGAAGATTAGAAGATCCAATAATCTATTCATTGAGAAGACAATCACACATGAATAAAAGTAACCTCCAAGTGTTCACTTCAGTATGATTAACTACACCAACGCATGTTGTGAATTAATGCTTCTATGTACGGGCAAAGTTGAACTTGATCGAGTTCCGCTTAAGCGATTATCATGTCCAGGAGTGAGTTACCCAGTCACTATCCTAAAAAGTGTGTTTCGTTAAAAAGCCATCTAAATTTCGAATACACTACATTGGCATTATCACCCATGCTAATCACTACTGTACTGTTACGTTGATGGAAACACATGAACACCTTTTACACATACAAACAAAAAAAAATTACTTGGTTTAAAATGTTGTTAGTGTAATTAGACTACTAACAAGTAGTTGAACGTTTAAAGTGAAATATTTTAAGCACCAATTATTTGATTTTATTTCCTGAAAAAAATTAGCGCATATAATGTGATATAGTGCGCATTGTGAGTATATGCAATCGAAATAAAACAAAGACGAATAATAGCGAAAAGTTAAAAAATTGAATAGTCTGCGTGTAAAACTTACCAGGTGGGTGGATTTGCGAACATTATTTCGATCTGTAAAGGTTGAACAATAAATACATTAAAAGCGAATATTGTGAAATAACTAGTAAGAAATTAACGTCATGGATAAGACTAATACACTACCCTTTCATGTAACACTATATTGGATATCGGTTCCCATATATAATACTTTGCATAACACACTGATATCCAATAGGGATAATAAACATGCGATTATGAGCTCGAAAAACTACTAACTGAAGCCTTCCTATTTATGAGGAAGGGTCTGATTGAGTGAAGACAATGAATGCCATTCATCTAGAATGTTGAGAAAGTGAAGAGTTTGTGCAACTCGAATTTCAACATATCAAGGTAATAAAAGGTTATTGTGTCGAATACCATAAACGGGAGAAATTTAAAGCAAGTTGTCTCTTTCACCTATACCTACCTAGGCAGGGCAACATCATTTAAACTACAGGCGGCGGCAGCGGCGGCGATGCAGATGAAGGGTTCAAATTAGCCAGAATCGAAACGACATTAAGACAGGCCTTCCTGCATTAATCTGGAATCAGTGTGCAGATTTACTCCACTCAACTATGAACAAGATCAGGATTTCCAACATTAATTCAGTCAAGTATGTCAGTGCTTCTATGTGATGGTTGAGAAACTTGGCGCCTTACGAAAAGCACTTCTAACAAACTGAAGACATACATCACATCAACAACTGTCGTCTACGCTCACTCACTCAATACCGAAGATGGAGATCAAATGGCCAGAAAAATAAGAACAGGCGACAAGGAACTCTGGTTGGCTGGCTGGCTGGCAACGAACCAACCAAGAACCAATTGCCTAACAAATATGCAGTAGAAGAAAGTGGAGATGAATTGGGCATACACTGCGAGAAACCATTCGGAGATATCAAACATCAGGCCAGGCCGTGGAGTGGAAGCCAAAATGGGAAACGACGAGTTGGGCGTCCGAACTGAGGGTGACATGAAGGAGACCATGTGAGTAAGAAATGAAAGGTTGTGGGGATTCGTAGAGCCAGGTTGGTAAGACTGAAGAGGCGAGATCGAAGTGGAGACGAGCTACTGAAGCCCTATGTTCCACTAAGAAACCAAATGACAAATAATAATTATACATTTCGACTTGAGGATGAAAAAATATGCTTAAAGCAATGACTATCAAAATTGAAATGGATCAAGAAATGAAAGGATAACTGAACAGGGTATGTCCTACACTATATAAACATAATAAACATATAAGACTACTAATCTTCTGTGAATGCTTCAAGTAGGCCAGGTCTTTTATATCTCAAACGTTGAATTCGGTGATAAGACAATGGAAATACATATTCGCTTATATCGACTGCCTTCTCAATTCTATGAATCTCGGTGTTCCTTTAAATTATTATTATTATTAACATTATTATTACTATTATTATTATTGTCATGCTAAGTAGGGTATTTTAAACGATACAATAGTTATCAGGTAACAAAATTTCAAAATCTAGCATGACCTTAATTAACCTTTTAGTGTTAAATAAACGCTGAAAACATGAATATTGTAAAGCAAGATTATTTAGATTTTATTATCGACTAGGAATAAAATCAAATGTATTTTTGTAATAATGAACCAGTTGGAGAACCGTTGAACACCTCAAAGCACTGGACAGCTATTTCGTCCTATTATTGAACTACTCGGCAATGCCAACCACTGAAGATACTACCAAGGACCAAATCCCAGAACTTCAGGTCCTGTGGCCAACATGTTACCATTGAGCAACTAAGTCAAAATATAGCACGACTTCTATTCAATACCGCTGTTGGATAACTTAGTTGACCTCATCGGTCACGACTTCTCAACAGAACTTCAAGAATCCCATCTCAAAGGAAGTTACTAATACGGACTTGACCTACAAATACAGAAAATGTTAACTTATTACGTAGATAGGCAAGGTCCAGTCATCTTAATTAATTTGACTGTACAACGTTGCCAAAACTCTAAGAATAACTAAAAGGAATACTGTATTTTTGAGATGAATGGGATTTTCAAGGTAGAAGTAGTATTCATCATGGAGTGACATCAGTTAGGGAACCATTAGAAACCGGGGAGCACCCGACACCTGTTTCGTCCTGGTATGAGACTCCCCAGCAGTACGCACTCACGACCCGGCTACGGATCGAACTCAGGATCTTCAGGTTTCACGGCGAACGCGTTAACCATCCGGCCACTGGGTCGGTTCCCAGTGGTTCACAATTTCCAACTTCTTTCAACTCACGACATAGTGCGACTATCACCCAAGGTCATCAGTTAGCATCCACTTCAATTCCAACTGGGTCATGGGTGTGTATTGCTGAGGAGTCACATACTGGGACAAGAAAGATGTCCAGTGCTCCCAGATTTTCAATGATTCTCTAACTTATGTCAGTCCATGATGAATACTACTTCTAAAAGGAATACTGTTTTAATGACAATATGATTTTAAACTGACTCTAAAGGTCACCTTAACAATAAATGTAATAACCAATTACATTTCTTTGTTATCTGAAAAGCTACCTTTCTAGTTAAAATACCTAAACCTGATTGGCTATTCCAGTTGTTGCCAAGGTGACCTTTAAAGTCACCCTGATGTTTGGAATTCATAAACTTTTTGGTAGAGAAAAATTAACAAGACAACCAACCATTTAAGGGTCAAGAATTTATAATCCCTTTATAATAGTGAAAATATCATCCCTTTTGAGAAGCAGTGTGATATTCCAGTTGGAGTATATTCATCAAACTAATCAGAAATAACAAAATAAAAACCTTACATATATATATTTTTAAAAGTAGAAAGTAATATTACTGCTTTAAAAAATCATTCTGAAATAAACTATTCTTAAACTGGAAGAATTAAACTATAAGATTCTACATCAAGAGATTGAAATAATGGAGAATATTTGTAGCTCAGGTGGATGGTATTGGTTGCAATTGTGTTCTCTCAGCTAGCTGGATTGTTTAATCGTGAACCTTTCATCGTCTTTCTAGACAGCAACATCACCAACACTAACTTCAGTATGAAGTGAGTAAGCTGTCAATATCTCTCCGTCAGTGATTCAGTAGCTTGCTCTGACGATGTGGTCTGTGATTGATTGTTTCCTTCGATTGTTGTATCATTGAGTGTATAGATTTTCCTGTTGACTGTTCGTCTGCTTGACCTCTGACCTTTCTGTCGTTTATCATCTTTCTCATTGATTGATAGATTGGGTCTATGTCTATACATCTATTGACTGCTGACAGAGAATACAATACAACCAAGATATCAAGAGATTTCAAAAGGGATAACGGGGAGGGGGGGGTCTTGTTCCAAAGCTACCACCCTCAATTCAAGTAGCAACATGGTAAAAACTGTAATCATTAAAGTAACTGATTTAATGGTGTCAAGATGAATTAACAATACAGATACAAAATAATCAAGAATAAAGTAGATAACGACTTGATGGGAAAAGTATAGCAATCAACTTTTAACTAGGAAATTAATTATTGAAACAATTACAAATAAACTTAATTGGTGTCCATATATCGCACTGAAGTGCCCTCTAACCTGTTATACGATATGACCATTAGAAATGGATATGAGGAAGTTACACGTGTTTGATCATAAATATTTTTGCAACATGAAGCATGTTTATCGAAGTCACTGTGCTAGCAATGTCAAGGTTAGGAAAAGTGTTCTAGCCAAAGAAGGTGGATTGGTTGACGAGGTTGTAAACCTTCTATTGACAGAGGTGGTTTGGACATGTATCAGGCATGGCCAACCATCACCACCTACATTGACGCACAATATAAACCGAAGAAAGACTGAATTAAGAAGGTTCAGGAGGGCAAGAACAAGACGTCTTAACAGCCGAATAGCCATGTATGGAGGTTTAGGCACCTCCTGGATGCTCAAGATGATAGGAATCAATAGTTGAAGATCCTTAATGACATGGCTGAAAATCGGTCACAATGGCGCATATGTATTCACTCTTTGACGTCTTCTAAAGTTTGAACATTTTTCATAATCTTCATCTTTCAAATGTCTTCTCCTTCTATATACTTTTGTCTACTATAATTTCACTTTCCATTTACCTTTTATACTTTTGCTCTTGTAAATTGTGGCAACTTCAACCAATGCAATTCTGTGCTATTTATCAGTGATACAATGAAAACAGGTCATAAGAATCGTAAAGATCTTGGGATACCACAAACAGTGAATATCGTTTCACTGATATAGTCAATTCTATGTTATTTTAAAACTAGCATCTTCAATTACCTACTTCAACGATCCTGTTATGATCGGTAATGCGACCTAGCAATCTACGAGTGATACAAACCTAAAGCGCAAAAGAATTTACTCTAATAGCTAATCGGAACATCAACCCACCACCAAGAAGCGAAAACAAGAAGAGAAGACAAACCGTTGACAGCGATACTGAATATATACGTTTTTAAATGACCTTGAAAAGTACTAAATCCACTGATTAGTTAAAAAAGTTAACAACCAATGAGATTTCAGCCTTCAGAGGTAGAAGGAAAAACAAAAGCTAGCAACGGTGCGAAAAAGAGTAATAATCAAGTTATTTTACGGTTATAGGCAAACATCAGGCGAGAGTTAAGCAAAATTGGGGTTATATAACAGATTCTGATTACTTCGTTCAGTAAACTAAAACAAATAGTTCATATCAACAGTAAATGGATCGTATAGTTCTAGTATTTTGGTATATCATTTCTTAAGATTTTTCTCCATTGTTAGCCTACTACAGACAATACTGAATGTTAGACATACGCATATGTATGTGGAGATCTACTGCACTGCACTGCACTCAGTATAAATCATGAACAAGATACAGATTTTAAACACTAGTTCAGTCCAGTATGTCAGTGCTTCCCATGTGATGGTTCAGAGACTTGGCGCCTTACGAAAAGCACTTCTAACAAACTACAGACATACATCAACAGCTGCGGTATACACTGACTCGATACTGAAGATGGAGATCAGATGGCCAGAATAATAAGAATAGGGGGAAAAGAACTCTGGATGCCTGGCTGGCTAGTTGACAACGAACAAACCAACAACCTATCGTCCAACAAGTATGCAGTAGAAGAAAGTGGGGATGCATTGAATTGGACATACACTGAGAAGACGGTTCGGGGACATCATTCAACAGGCCATGTCAGGTCCTCGAGCTGAACCTAAAGGGGAAATGACGAGTTAGGCGTCCCAGCTAAGGGTGACATGGAAGAGATCATGTGAGGAAGAAATGAAAGCTTCTGGGCAGTCGTGGAGTGAGGTTAGGAAGACCGGAGAGAAGAGAGTGAAATGGTGACGTGCTACTGAAGTCCTATGTTCCACTAGGAACCCAAAGGACAAATAATAATAATATTATTAAATGTGTTTCGACTGACTTCATTGATATAGCCCTTCAAGTTAATCAAACCGCTCAAGCTTAACTACAATAAACATAACACAGTTATATTTGTAGTGCAAATGATCAAATGTATACAGTTTTGTCATTTAACAGTTTCATAAAAGAAAAGCATCTACTGGTGAATTATAATGTGTTAATGGTTGAGTATGACTAAATGAACATTTGATAAAACATAGAAGTGTTATTAGAGTGATATGAACAGAAAAAAGTGGGCACGTTTCATTCGACTTTACGACTCAATAGTGTATTTATGACAATGTATAGAATCAAGATCACAATGGTCAGATCTAACACCAAGTTGGGTTAGTACTAGGCTAGAGAGATGGATTTCAATAGTGAAAATTCTTAAAATTCTGTCAATTTGTATAGTAGCATGACCGATATCGAATATATCATCACGAATTACTAACGGTTGGAAAATGAATCCCGACTAAACTGTTTCGTGATACTGAATAGTTTATTCTATGAGGAATAGAGGGAGAAGGAGAAAAATGCACTCAACCAACTACGTATACATCCGTGTAATAGGTAATAAATCACATTTATTGTATGACGACTAATGATACTGCCTGGATATGCAAACCTCGATAGGTGGGGCAGGTTTCAAACCTGCTATCCAATGGTTAGAAGTGAAGTGTGTATAACAATCAGCAATAACTCCAAACAGAGGATCTTGAAAGTTATGAAATTACTTTGATATAATTATGGCTAATAGACTCTGGTGCTCATTGGTGACTAGCTTTGAGAGGTAGTCCCGAAGTTCCAATGAGAAGTCGTGAGGACAGTTACTCAACGATGATATTGGGTGGCAGTTGCACTATATCGTGAGCTAATAGAAGTTGGAAATATGGACCATTGGGTCCCGCCGACCCAGTAGCTCGATGATAAAGTGCTGGCTATAGAATTAAGGTCGCGGGTTCGATTCCTGGCCAGGTCGTGGCTGTTCAGTGCTCCTAGGTTTCATTTTTTCCTTCAACTGATGTCAGTCTACGATGAATAACAACTTGAAATATTTCAAAATCCCCACAACTCCCTCAAAATTAAAAGAGATTCTGATCAAAACGTCATTTAATACATAATAATGAATCACTGTATAGTATATCAAATAAAAAATCTAGCATAATGAAATACTCTATTATAGAGTGATCATGTTCTACTCATAGAATTTGTCAGTCTCCATTTCTTATCGCATTGAAAGCGTTCATAGTAATAAGGAGTCTAATGCTGGAAAGGAGAAAGCGTCCAATGAAAAGCAATTTACATTAATACTGACTATACATAATCATTTTGACTACTTGAGATAGTCATGGTTTGGCAGACTAGTAATAATAATAATAATAACAATAATAATAATAATAATAATAATAATAATGGTAATAATAATAATATATTTCAAATAATAAATTATACGAGCACATGCCATTTTTACAGGCAATCTCTGAATGTTATTGTTGTCAATGAGGCTGAGAAAATTTAGAAAGAATACATCGCTCCACCACTCATACATAGTCTACCAGGATGCAATTATTTAAATGTTACTGGTTAAAAATATTACCTACTAACCCTTTCGCTATATAACAATAGTGAATAATAACATAGGCATTATCACTCAGTATGAGCTTTAACCAGGCCTCTACACTTCAGTTAATGACTCGCATAATCAATAAATGTACATAGAATATCAAAATGCTGAGTATAAGTAAGGCTGAAAAAAAAGAGAGAATAATCAACAAGTTTTTTTTTTCCTGTTTACAGAGAGCATTTAAAACTCTAGATTTAAATCATGGTATGGACCGATAACAAAGCTTGGAACCAGTATCATACAGTATCATACAGCATGTAGTGATTCTGTGTCATTGGAAACAAATTGATACTGAATGATGATTGAAGATGAGAAATGAAAATTTGGACAACAGCTGAAGTCTAGTATGAATATGAGTATGCTAAACCACAGCTATCCTACTCAGATAGTCGAAATGATGTTCCCCCCTCTCTCTCTCTCTCTAATTCAATTAGATTTGGATGAGAAGTCCTGACTAAGAGCAGCCAATGTGAGTATAATTAAGCGATAGTTAATCAGATAGAATCCTTGGTAGTTGAAGTAAATTACAAATATAGTCAGTAGAGTTGAATATTGTAGTTCAGTTGGTAGATTTATCAGGTTGGAAACTAAGGTGGTCACTGGTTCGAATCCTACTACAAATGAAATTTTTATTTCATATATATCAATTGATATTTACATACTTACTTGTTTTAATCATACGTACATCTTCACCACTGAGTAGATTGTGTAATAAACGTTTTGTATCAATTGGACGCATTGAAAATAAGGCATACAATGAATCTTCAACAGTTAATCCCATACCACGAGCTAATTCAGCTGCCATCATTTGTATAATTAAACCAATACGTAAACGTAAAATATTCGCCATTTTTTGTGGTTGTGTACGTGCAAACATTGATAGATAAATGAGAATTTCCTGTTTGTTTAGTTTTGTAAAGATAACAGATTTTTTGTAGAAAAAAAAAATGATTGATTCAATTGAGAAGTTTATAAGGATTTATTTATTGATTTCAGGTTAATATCTATTACACCAATGCTTATTAGGTGAATTGCTTTGAGATGAGGAGATTATCAAAATTCGAATAAGAAGTTATCATCAGTGGAGTCAAGTCGAACGTGAGGACGCCTACTTAACAACGGCGTTAACTGACATGAGTGTGAAATGTGAATCCTTGGATCTCAATGCAGTAGCTCAATGATAATGTGCGGACTGAGGAACCTGGGTTCAGTCGCTACTTAGAAACTATGATCCATTGAAATCTGACTCATTGACTGAGTGATTAACAAGGTCACCGTGAAACCTGAAGGTCCTGTGTTCGATCCTTAGTCGAGTCGCGGTACGTACTGTTGAGGAGTCCCATACTAGGACGAAACAGCTGTCCAATTTTAAGGCCCCAGCTAGGCATAAAACATTGTTATTGATCCGAAAATTTTTAACGTGGCATTCTTACACCATTTTTACGATAGGACTAATAGTCTATTTACTGCCCCCATTGTAATGTGATTTGCTGATTGGTTAATCTTTATTCTTACTATGCGAATGTCTCAAATTGGGGACAAGGTCATTTTTCATGTGTATACATATTCACGTGATTTTGGATTGATTGATTATTATATTCTCGGAGGGATAAACTCTCCTATCATCCAGCTTCGGTCTTCTCTCTGTTCGTCCCGGGTTTCAGTCAGCAGCTCTTGCGTACTAAGTTATCTGTCAGTTAAGCGTGCGTATTATATCCGTTCAGAATTTATAACAGTTGGCGACGAAGACATAACACCAGTGCTCCTAGGTTTTCAGTGGTTCTCCAGCTAATATCAGTCCATGATGAATACTACCTCTAAATTAAAATCGCCATTCGTCTCAAAATCACATTACTATATAATGCTCATGAGTGAAATGCTTCCAGATGGATATCACGAGGTTCTAATGAGAAGCTGTGGCTTCTGGGGTCAACCAGTCGGATGACAACTGGAAACCATGGGTAATAGTCACGCTATATCGTGAATTGATAGAAAATGCAAACTGTGAGCCTTTGAACTACAATCCACGATGTAACTGGATGGTCGTTAAGTTCACTTTCTCCACCGAAACTTGAATATTAACCCGAAAACTTAGTTTAAAGGCAGTATTCATCATGGACTGCCATCGTTTGGAGAACCACTGGAAAACTAGGAGCACTGGACAGCTGCTTCATCCTAATACCAGACTCCTCATGACCAGGGATCGAACACAGAACCTCCACGTTACCATTGAGCCACTGGGCCGGCGGAGTCGAATGGTCCATATTTCCAACTTCTGTCAGTTTATGACATAGCGCGGCCATCGCCCAATGTTATCGTTGAGTATTTTCTCCTCACGACCACCAGATTCGCCCCACAGGTTACGACTTCTCATTGGAATTTCAGGAATCATCTCTCGCATCTAGTCACCAATGAGCACTAAATCAATTACATTTGAGGGTTTAATGTTTTTTCAAGCTGACATTCATCTATTGAAGTATGAATGATAACAAAACAGATAGTGTAATGTATAGAATGGTTCGTAGAATGTATATAACTTGGAAAGGAGCATAAGATTAATAAGAACAGTAGGTAAACAAAGTATCATGTAATAGGACTCGACAAGTTTTGATGCAGAGGTAGTATTCATCATGGACTGATATCAGTTGGGGAACCAATGAAAATTTGGGAGTACTGGACACCTGTTTCGTCCCAGTATGGGACTCCTCAGCAGTACGCACCCACGACCCGGCTAGGGATCGAACTCAGGACCTTCGGGTTTCACAGCGTACTGCTGAGGAGTCCCATTCGAAGACGAAACAGGTGTCCAGTGCTCCCAGATTTTCAATGGTTCCCTAACTGATATCAGTCCATGATGAATACTACTTCTAAATTAAAAATCCCCATTCATCTCAAAAATGAATTGAATGTGCTTAAGACGATTAAGCGAAATAACACCAGAACCTATAAATTCGGAATAAATCATAAGGAATACGGTGAAATGAAATTCTGTTTCACCTTCTCTTCATACATTATTTGTAACTGTCTATGCAATTCATTAATGTTTTGCCATATTTATGGGATGGTCTAATCCATCTTTTCTGTTGATCGAAGAAGAGTACGCACAGATGTGTAAAAGCTTCTGTAATCCTCCACCCTTTTTGAGAAAGAAAGAAATCCTTTTCGTAAGAGTTTTGCCTTTTCGAATGATATTTTATGACCTGAATATAAGGTATGAGCTGTGATGGCAGAGGTTTTTTTTTCAAGTTTTTCCAGATCACAGGAATTTTTTTTAGTGGTCTCTTGCAACTTCGATTGTATTCGGTTAGAACTTTTTAACTTAAAGTGTAAAATTGCTTCTGAAAAAGTGGAAATGGAATTTTATAAATTGCACATTTTTGATGACATACTTCCCAGACAATTTTAAGATGTTGCGAATCTCTAACTTCCAATCAAACTTTTCAAATCTTGTTCAGCTGAAGAAATCCCATGTAAACAATTGCAATGAGAAATTATGCAGTTTAACTGAAATACACATTGATACTGCATCTGTGTTGTCGAACGTTTTTCTTACTTATTACTATTTATTGACATACTTGTTATGATCCATTGTCTTGTTGGATCGAATTGTTTGACGTCTATTGGCATATGGGCTCCTTTGCGGATGCTTCGCTACTGCCTGAACGTTAATTATGGTAATTTGGTTGGTTGTGGCTAGCAGAAGAATCCGGGACGCGTGTCTCGTCCTATCTGGGACTCGTCAGCAGAATTCACCTGCACCCCAGTGATGATGTTCACATTGAGACTCGAACCTCGTACGCATCACTTCAAACGCCAAGGCGTTATCCACTATGCCACGGAGGAACGATAGCCACTTCTTGTACAACGGGTAGTAGTTATTACTATTGGTTCTTGGCGTTTTAAGCGATGCGTACGAGGTTCGAGTCTCAGTGGGAACAATATCACTGGGGTGCAGATAAATCCGGCTGACGAGTCCCAAGTAGGACGAGACGCACGTCCCGGATTACTCTGCTAGCCACAACCAACCAAATTATCATAATTTCTCTTATTGGCTATAGTAAATTCATCAACTTTTGTAGTTCTGTTATCAGTAAAATGAAGGATAGAAGAAGGCAAAAACTGTCTACATGCAGTTCTACTGACATCCATACAAACAAGTTTCGATGCGATGCAGATAAGTATGTGACTCATTTGTCCTTTGTTGTACTTTCAATTCATGAGAAAGAGGCACTTTACCTTGGATTCAAATTTTCGGTTCCATACATGGAAATCTTTAAAGGCTAAATTAGTTAATATTGCTCATCAATTCCATGGTTCAGAAACAAGACAAGGAAGCATTTTGAATTCACAGTACTTCATATCTTTAAAAGAATTACGGAACAGATTTGACATAATCGTTCCCAAACGCGATACGGGATGAGGTATTCTTGTGATGATTAAATCTGATTATGAAAATAAAATGTTATCCATCCTCAGTGATGAAAGCAAATTCATAGCCAATGTCTTATCCGAAGATATATGAGAAAATTCGAAACAATAGTAACCCCCGATTTAGTAAAACTTTTGAATATGAATGCGATTAACAAAGAGGAATTCGATTCATTGAAATCTGCATGGATCTGGATTTCCAAATATATATGGACTACCTAAGATTCTTTGAGTTAATAACACTTTACGCCCTATAATGGATACGCTGGACTGCGGAAAAGAACCTAGAAGGCTTGGATTTCGCCGATGACTTGTGCCTGATGTCACAAAAACTTGAAGATCTACAGGCGAAAACTAACAAGTTGACAGAAGAGGCAGAGAAGATGGGACTTCAAGTGAATATAGAGAAGACAGAAGTGATGAAGATACCCAACCAACAACAACAACAAACTCCAGTCAACATCAACGGGAGAGACTTAAAGGAAGTAACCTCCTTCACCTATCTAGGAAGCACTGTCTCAACTACAGGCGGAGGCACAGAAGAGGATGTCAAAGTCAGAATCGGAAAAGCAAGACAGGTGTTCATTAGCCTGAAACCAGTGTGGAGATCTCCTGCACTCCACTCAGCAAGCGGAACAACATCCGGATTTTCAACACCAGCGTCAAGTCAATGCTTCTATATGGCTCAGAGACTTGGCGCGTTACAAAACGCATTTCCAACAAACTACAGACATTCATCAACAACTGCCTACGCCCACTCGCTACTGAAGATCAGATGGTCAGAATAATGAGAATAAGCAACAAGGAACTCTGGGAACGAACCAACCAACAACCTATCATGCAAAAATATGCAGGAGGAAGTGGAGATGGATTGGGCATGCACTGAGAAGGCCGACTGAGGACATCATGCGTCAGGCCAGGTACTCGGGTGGAATCCCCATGGGAAGCGACGAGTTGGACGTCCGAGGTGAGGGTGACATGGAGGAGGTCGTGCGAGGAAGAAATGAGAGCTTGTGGGCTGTCGTGGAACCAGGTTTAAAAGATCTCAGAGAACAGAGGTCACTGGAGACGTGCTACTGAAGCTGTATGTTCCATTAGGAACCCAAGGGACTAATAATAATAATAATAAATACGTCCTATATTATCTACGTGTTTTTCCTCCACACATAAAACAGCAAAATGGTTAGTGAAAATGTTAAATCCAATTCGAAACGAATTCTGTAAGTTTTCATTGAAAGATACTGTTCAACTTATTGACTGTCTTAGTAAGATGAATATCAAAAATACGATAATGTACTCTTTCTATGTAAATTCTTTATTTACTAACATGCCATTATCCAATATAATAATATTCTCTGCGAATACATTTCTTCTAGAAACCTCCTATTTCCTATTACTCCAACTTTTCTGAGGTAGCTATTATTGCTATTTACCAGTAAAGTCCTCTTCACATTTGAAGGTGAAACACTT